TCTTATTATCATCAGTGCAATGGGCAGGGCTGCCACCCAATTTAGCCCCGTCTGAGCAGAAATTTTAGCAATCTTATTCTTCAGGTTTAGGTTCATTCTTTCTACCTTTCCCTGCGACTGGGGGTGATATACAGTGCCAAATCTATGTTGCAATCCCAGCTTCTGCTCTACCTCTGCCAAATCTTTATTTTTGAAATGAGTCCCATTGTCTGACCTAATTCTCTTAGGAAAACCATGCCGGGGATGTAATGATTGATTAAACACTTAATCACACTTTTTGCATCCTCCCTCTTTGTTGGCCACACTTCGGGCCATCCTGTCAGAGCATCCACACTTACCAGTAGATATCGAACCCCTCCTGGTCCCACATCGATCATGTCAGTAAAATCAATGACAATCTCTTCCCCTGGTCTTTCTGGAATGGGGAACTTACCTGCCTCCGGTTTGATCACTGGCTTTGGATTGTGCCTCCCACAGATCAGACACGTCCTGGCTTTTTCCTTAATCATATCCCTCAAGAAGGGATGCCACCAATGGCACAGATGTCTTCCCATCTGGGCCACACCTACATGACCAAACCCATGCGCTTCGGCAATCTTCTGTTTTGCCAGTTTGGCCGTCAACACTGGTCGTCCGTCAGGTCCTCGCCAGAGACCTCCTTCTTCCCAGGCTCCTCGACTCTTCCAGATCCCCTTCTCTTCTGGGGCCGCCTCCTCTTGAGTCTTCCTGGCTTCCTCTAACATGTTAACCCCTTGTTCTTCCTCCACGGTTATTTGCACCATCTGCCGTAGTGCTTTATAGCCCGCTGCCTCCTTCGCGGCTCGATCGGCTTCCTGATTTCCTCTGGCCACCATGCCAGTCCCCGAGGAGTGACCTTTACACTTTATGATACTCACCTCCTCTGGATTTCCCAAGGCCTGCTCAAGTTCCTCCATTTCCTTTTTGTGGCAGATTGGTGCATTCTCAGCTGTCCTGAATCCTGCTCTCCTCCATTGGGCCAGTTCCACATGAGCTGCTCCAAAGGCATTAGCTGAGTCCGTGTAAATGTTGACTCTTTTTCCTTTTGCAAGTCTTAGTGCTCGACTTAGAGCAATTACTTCTGCTCTTTGGGCTGACTGCTGCCCTTCAAGTCTTCCAGCCTCCTTCACTTCAAATTCGGCCTCTCTTCTGCAAACCACCGCGTAGCCTGCTTTCAATCCTTCCTCATCTCTGTAGCAGCATCCATCCGTGAACCAATCTTCAGCTCCTGTCAGAGGTTCTGCTTTCAAGTCTTCTCTTATCTTCTCGTCAACTTCAGCTCTCTTTGTGCAATCGTGGGGTTCTCCTGCTCCTCCCATTAAATCTGCCATGTTAATCCCTTCATGTGTGAAGGTCAAGTTGGGAGCCTCTAAAACTTTACAGACTCTCTGCTGTGTAAGTGGTGTCATGGTGAAGGCTTGTGAGTTAACATATGCCACCACACCATGAGTGGTCAGCACCTTCAACGGATGGTCCCTCACTACATGTGCTGTCTTTTGTATAATCTTTGACACCCCAATGGCATGCTGAGTGCATCCCGGATGCCTTGTCTCTAATGGATTCAGTCTGACGCTGACGTACATCAGTACATCTCTCCCTCCTCCTTTTTTCTGAAACAACACCCCATTAACTATCCCGTGTGTTTCTGAAACATCAAGATAGAAGGGTTCATCATAATTAGGGATGGCAAGATCAGCCGATCTTGACAAGTCCTGTTTCAATGCGATAAACGCCGACTCAGTGGCCGATGTCCATGGCAGCTCAGCCTTTAAGTTTCGGACACCTACCGTTTTCACCAAATCCCTCAAAAGGGCTGTTTTTCCTGCATAATTTGGAATGAAGTGACGGCTGTATCCTGTCAACCCTAAGAATGAGAGCAACTCCTTAACCGTACGTGGTTTCGGATGCGTCAAAATCTGATCACGATGGGTGTTTAGCAAACCCACTGATTTATGAGCAATGACTCGGCCCAGAAATGTTACTTCTGGTCGGACCAACTGCAACTTTTCTTTACTGACTTTGAATCCGCACTCCGCGAGTCTCTTCAGTATGGTGAGTGAGGCTGCCGTACATGCCGACGCCGACGGAGCCGCAATGAGCAAATCATCAACATATTGCACCAGTGAACACCCCTCTGGTAGGTGGCATGGCGTTAGAGCTTCTTTCAACACTTGGTTGAAAATGCCAGGGGAGAGTGCAAAGCCTTGTGGCAACCGTGTGTATCTGTACTGTTGCCCCCTATATGTGAATGAAAAAACGTCCCTCAGAGACTCATGCAATGGGAGACAGAAAAACGCATTCGCTAGATCAATACATGTAAACCACTTCTGTTCTGGTCTTAACGCCATCAGTGCAGTGTATGGATTTGGGACAGGTACTGTGTCAGTACGCAAAATGGCATTAATGGCTCTTAAGTCATGTGCCATTCTGTACTTTCCTGTCCCGTGCTTCTCTACTGGCAAAATAGGAGTGTTCCAGTAGGAATGAGAGGGCTCAAGCACCCCTACTTTCAATAGCCCTTCAATAGTTTCTGCAATTCCCTCCTCAGCTTCCCTCTTTTGCCTATACTGCGGTTTCCAAATTGGCATTTGCGACTTCAGCTGGAACAAAACAGGCGAACAAGTTGCCAGGCCCACATCCGTAGGCCCTGATGACCACAAGGTGTCAGGAAGAGTCGCAAGTGCGGCAACTGCATCCGCATGGTCTATTCTTTCTCTTCCATGGATTCTTGAGATTTGTTCATGCTCCAAAATCACTGTGTCCTCTGATTGACAAGTGATACGGTAAATTTTGCATTTTGGCGAGTACCAAACATCTGGAATCTGAGTAGCTTGCCAGCCAGGTTCCTCAAGGGCTCTCTTGACCATTGTTCCCAGCTCTTTCGCCTGATGACCCTCATGGACCGCCAATGTAACGTGGGGCACTGAATCAGGTCCCATTTTGAACCAAGGCCGTTGCTCATCGGTTAATTTTACTGCTGCAGCGACGCCTTCAGGACCAACATAGATGTTTTGAGAACACACATTCCAGGTCTGACCCTCAAGGTCAGACTGGAACAGGTCCCTATAAATTTCATCATCGTTCCTATCATAAAAGAGGGTCACATAGAATGGATCTCGGGGGGGAGAATAGACCGCCAAGGCCATAATCCAAGGTTTCCACAACTGATACTGTCTCAGAATGCCTTCTTCCACCAACCGACCCCAGTATATATCCGCTGTAGATTGTTCACAGTCCTGCAGCAAATACTGGTTCTTTGAAGAAGTCCCCAGGCAAAGGAATTCTTTTCCTCCTGGAAGTGTCACAGTTAGTCCATCTGCTGAACACATGATAGTGGCCCCCAATTTAATGAGCAGATCCCTGCCCCTCAAGTTCACAGGCACATGGGGAGATACCACATAGCTGTGCTTCAATGTCTGTTTTCCCAGCACCGTCAGGGCTGGATTGGTTTTTGGCAGAGTCATCGGTACCCCACAGAAGCCCACAACACTGACCACGTGATTGGAAAACGTGGCACTGCTTGGTTTGTGTCTCAGTGTTGAGTAAGTCGCTCCAGTGTCCACAAGAAAGGTCATTTCAGTACCTTCCACAGTCATCGGCAACAGAGGTTCCGCCATATCCCTGCCGCCGGATCTCTGCGGGTCCCATCAGTACAGCTCCTCCTCTCCGCCCCAATAGGCCAGAGGATACTGAGCCACTGGCGCCATGCCTGGGTTTGGAGCTTGATGCCCCCTTGTCTGGAATGTCCTGCCTCGCGGCGCTCTTTGTGCCTGGGGTGGTGGTTGATAACTTGTTTCTGGTAGCCATGGCGTAGGACAATTACGAGCCCAATGTCCTCGTCCTCCACACCGTCTGCATACACTTGGGTCCAGCATAGGTCCCCCCAGACCACGACCCCTTGGTCCACCTCCCCTTTGAGATCCACCACGCCCCTCCACGGCCTAGTAACCCCCCAATTCCCTGCGGGTCTTCCTGGCCTTGATCCACCGGTCATCAGGGTACAGAACCGGATCCAAATCTGGCCAATCTGGCCCCGGATCGCCCTGTAGCTGTGCCACCAGCATCTTTTTAGCTCCATCTTTGTTTTCCTTTCTCTTTTCATTTACTTTTTCTCTCGCCTCAGCCAATTTAAATTTTACTAACTGCCCTTGCGCCTCCTCCAGCTCCTGTTTTTTCTTGTTCACCTCGTCTCTTTCCAGCTCAAGTCGATGTATTATATGCCTCTCCCATTTTACTGAATCCGCCACCGCAAAGTCTGGATTCTTCTGTAGATCTGCTCTCACTCGTTCTGGCAGACCTGCTAAAACCGCACATCGGAACCACGCCCACGGTTCTCCATCCTGCCCAGGATGCTCTCCAGTTTGGAGAATCCACTGTTCCTTGGCATGTTCTATAAATTCTCTAGGGGAATGTTCTGGGCTCCAAACAATCCTAGGGATAGTGCCAGTATTATGGGTCGGATACTTCTCACGCACTGCATCAGAGAGAGCATTTCACACCCTTGCATAGGGGACATCGTTTGGTTGGCATGCAGTTCTTGCTATCTCTTCCACATCTGCGAGACCTCCACCTCTGAAGGTCCTCCCACCGATAGCTCTAAAATCACCCAAGGCCATCTCCTCTGCTTCTGTTAAATTCGCTAGTCTTCTCAACCAAGCCGCTCCTCCCTCCGTGATCGGGGGCAGCTGCTTCACCAGAGCCTCAAGATCTCTGATATTATAGGGGTGGTAGACTGGTTCACCCCGTGGACCCGTCAATAAAGGCATTGTGAGTGGCAATTCCTCCTCTGTGTCACACTGCCCTTCTCCGGTTTGCAATGCAACATTCTGCTTCCGATTCTTTTCAAAAATTGACGGTCTTTTATCCCTTGCTTCATCCAGAACCCTCCCAGAACGAAGCGTCGTCCTTCCTGGGGGTCCCTGAAAGTTTGGGGCGAGTCCTCCCCATTCCAGGTTTGACACTTCTCTAGACTTTCGCGCTTTACTTACAGAGGCCTCCAAGTCCTTTTCCAATGCATCCAGCGTTTGTGCTACACTATGTGGTGATGCCACGCCTTCTTCCTCCAGTTTTTTCAACATCCGTTCCAACTTTATCACAGCCTCCCGGTTGTCAGATACTTTCCCAACGACATGGCCCTGCCACTGTTCTTTCACACCGTTGTCAACCGTCGGCTTCTGACTAGTTTTTTGACTCACCTTTAATGGCCCCTTCTGGTACTGCAGTGAAGGTGAATCTTCCTCTGAAGTCCAGACCTCCTGGGGTGAATTTCCCAGGGTGGGCTGTTGTGGTGTCACCTGACCGGTACTTGTGGAAGCCACAGGTTGAGCTTCTTCTGCAGCTCCATCTGGGCTAAAAATAGAGGGAGGGATCAAGATCACCCCCCGTGTAGTGTTTCCTTGTGATGTTCCAGCAGCTGGGTGGGGCTGACCTACCTGTGATCCAGCTGCTGATTGAGACTGGCCCACTCTCGTGTCCGCCTCCTCTGTGCCCCTAGCAGATGTCGATGGTGTAGGATTCTCCTGTATGTCCAGAAGTCCTCTTTTAACAGTTCCTGTTTTTCCTCCCGGCCCCCAGAGGGTGCCTCCCTCCAAAGTCACCACTGGACAGATATAAGGGGGAGGTGGGGCACTCAGGAATTCCTTCAGGCTGGGATATAATGTCCCCCCAGCCTCCGCTTCCTTTGATGAGACTGGTTTGGTGTCTTTCACTTCCTCTTGCATCCAGTGAGAAACGCCTTGAGAAACAATCATAAGCTTGCAATACTTATTTTGTTTTTCAATCATGCGTTTCTTTTCGGCCTTTAATTTTCTCCCCTGAAGACGTCCCAAGGGTTCCTCATCAAGCTCTTTAATCCTCTTCTCACATTTCTCACCTTCCAGTTTAAAGATGGAATGTAGAGGGATTCTGTCCTCCAACGTCTTCTGTTGATTGTCACATAATTCCTTCACTTCTTTTTCCAAATCTTGGCAGTGACGGGCAATTTCCTTTGAAGTCCTGTCTTCAGTAATCTTAATTGCCTTCTTCAATTGCTGTATTTGCTCCTTCAGAGGCTTGTATTTCTTTCCCCCACCAGGGGTCGCCTTTTCCTCTTCAGCCATTTTGTTTTTCGACCTCACTTACCTTACCAAAATGGCCGCTCCTAGGCTCCTCCTTTTGGGGTGGCCTTAGTACACTTCCCTTTTCGGCAGTCAGACTCCCACCAGCTGGCCTAAGCTTAACTTCCGCTAAGCAGCTCCAGTCGGGGAGAAACCTGCCCACAGACACACACACACACACACACACACACACACACACTCTAATCCTCCTTTACAAGAGAAACCTCACAAACCTCTGCAACAGTTTTAAGCACGCAAAGCCAGCGAAAATTCAATCTCACATTCACTCCTTAACCACTACAAAGTTTTACACACAAAACTAATCCACTCAATCTACCATGCACGCCGTTTCTCTCATTATAGCGAGAGAATCAACCGCTCTTTAAAAGACTTTATATAAGCAACACCAAAATAAAGCACAAATCTCTGCCTCTCTCCAGGCCGAGAAGGAAATGTAACCCAACCAGTAAATCTCCCAGCAATCACACAAAGTACTCAATTTTCGCCAATATCCTTAGCAGTGTCCTCCTATTTTACAGGAGTTTTACACGAGAGATCATTACACATTAGATCCTATCAAACCATACTCACTTTAGGGAACACACTCTCACAAGATTGCAAGATTTAATTTATTTAATATACTGAAATCTTTTAATCACACTTCTGAAACACACCTTCACCTAACCCAAACGAAACTAAGAAGCATAGAAATGGAGAAATAGGGAGACGAGACACAGCCAGCTGCCACACACACACAGCCTGAGCGCTCAGCTCGGCCCCCACCTTTTCCTCCTCCTCACAGAGAAGCGCGTGCCCGTTCCTTCTCTTTTTTTTAAATACTGGAGAGAAAAGAAAATAGTTTTTCCTGTGCTGACTCTGGAAGCACACAGACAGCTTTATACAGTCTATATAAGTAATTCACACTTTATTTACACACAAGGGTAATTTACATTCTATTTACACACGGGCCCGTATAAACGTAAGAAAAACACCACATGCCAGACCAGCTTATCCTCTCTATTTCTCTGCTGGTGTTCCTAACCTTTAGACTGATTTAAAAGCATCTATAGCCCAGGGCCGTGCCCTTACTGATCAATTACACGCTTCGGGACACGCCCTCCCGATCGCGGTCTAATTCCTAAGCTCTAATTAATTTATAACCGTTTCCCGCAGCTGGGAAGGAGCTCCACCTCTGGCGCTAGTATCAAACCCACGCCGTCAGCTTTACTTAAAACTCACAGGCCAACGACGTTAACTGGTCCCGGCTGGGTCCTCGACCCTGTCAAACAATCAATGCAGTATAAGGCAATCACTCATAGAATGCCTAGCCTGTCACTGGGTGTCCCAAGTTCCCACGGTAGGCCAACCGAGCTTAAACATAACAACGCGTCCGTTGCATGTGGCGTCTGCCAAAACGCTGAACAAATGCATTCCTAGGGGGACCACCCCGCCCCCAGTCCTAAGAACATTTACTTGTTTTAAAAGCCTCACTGTGGGCACTCTGCCCCCCCAGTTTAATTACCTGAGGCCCAAAACCGCGTTTTACTATTCAATTAAACCAAATCCCCTACGCTACCGGGTGATCGGCTGGCATCCAACCACCCCACATTTAAACCTTTAAACCTTTTAAACCGTATTGACTTAAACACATAACATAACCTCTTAACTCAACAGTTCACTCCCCAAAATAAACAGCAAGACACTTAATCAAAAATCACTATGGACAAACACCAGAAGTCTATACTGAGTGAATATTATCTAATTAAATTTAGCGCCTTTGGATAAACATCAACAGGTGGCACTACTCACCTTTCTTATCTCGCCTGGCGTCACTCAGATAGCTGCTGGCGTTCATCCCTTTGGCACCTCCAAGAAGCAAGCCGCAATGTCTTCTCCTCCCCACCGGGTCACGGCACCAAAAATTGTTGTGGTTCGTTCGATTTGGATCAGAGAAGAAAGCAGGCTGAATCCAGGTAAAGGTGTCAAAAATAGTGATCTTTATTACATACTTCTAAAACAGAAGCATGGGAAGACAGACATACAGCAAACAATCTCCTCCGGGTGGAGGCTCCTTATCCCTTATATTACCCTGATGACGTCACACAGTTAGATCTTACTGGAAATGATATCAACTCTCCACACTCAACAAGATTCCCTTATATAGACATCAGGATGAGACTTTTAGAGAAAAACAAGTGTGTTCTTATGTGTATTTTGTGAGGCTGTGTGTCCTTATAGAGAGGATGTCCTGGGACGACCTCCTCTTATTAATAAGTGTGTATGTGAGACACGCATCTTACGTAAGGTGTGCATGTTAGTTTTGGGCCTGACTACGTGCAAAACTGAATGTAGCAGTCCAAGGTCCAACAGGACCCTCCCGCTCAGATGGTGATACAATGCTGTGCAGTCCATTTGAGACTGATTAGAAGATGATGATGAGCATACACCAATATTCACTCAGATTAACATAGATATACTTCAGAGATTATGCTGTCATCAGATTCAACAATGATAAATGATTAATCAATGATGGTATGATTATAAAATGTCATCATAAGAATACAAAATAAAATATCTCTTTTCCACACTCCTCCTCTTTGGCCATCGGCCAACCTTTACCCAATTTGTTTCACTCCTCCGTCCAGGCGGCCTCTCGCAACGGCATCATATACCCCGGACCAGCTGAAGCAGCTGAACCAGAGTCTAGGGCCC